GTTATTTTTCTTTTTAATTAGTCCTTCTACTACTGTTTCTTAGTCTAGATTTTGACTTATTTCTGTTTTTCCTTTAGCTCTAGAAATAGTCAAAATGATCTATGGAAAGAATGTCTGAATTTGATTACTTGTTATTTCTGTTTCTTGTTTTCTTATTTCTGACTATTATAGTTTGTTGTTATAGTAATACATTGAGAACTTTAGACTACTTACTCTGTCCTTTTCTTCTTTAAAATAAACTGTTGCACTTCCCATCTAGTTATTATTTGAGTTTTTAAATATATGAAGTGCTTTCCTTCCTGTTTTCTTAACTTGTCTCCATAGGAGTACTTCATTTGTATTTTCAGATAAGTCTAGCAACCTTAGACTATATTTGCTTCTTTCATAAAGCATGTTCTGGTTATTAGTACCTGGTGTTATTCTTACTAGAAGTTGATCCATAAATAGTAAGCACTAAGTTTCTTCTATTTTCTTCTCATCATACATTCCTGATTTGAATTTGACTTCTGCTCTTGTCTTATCATATATAGTTCTTATTATTTCTATATACTTAACCCTTCCTATGAAGCGTACTGTTTCAAATACTTGAGTTCTTTTCATTCAAGTTAGAAGATCCCAAATTGTTATCTTGTTATTATTTTCTTCTAATTGTAGTACTATTTCATTGTCTTGTTTTGATGTATTTTTGTCTTTTCTTAAGGGTTCTTATGTTTAATTATTTCCTTGCTTTTTTCTTCTCTTTGTTTGAAAATTTCTTCTAGTTTTCTCGCTACTTAGTTTTCTCTTTTAATTCTTCCTTTATAATCTTTATCTTCCTTCTTGTAACTTTCTTGTATTGGTTTGTTTATCTTTTCTTCCACCTCTTCTACTATAAATTTAGCTCGCTCGTATTCCTCTTTTTTGTTTTTTAGTGTAAATCTTGCTTCTTCATAGCCTTTTTGGCAACAAAACCTAACAATACACTAAAATTCCCTTTCTCAAATCTTTTGCTTATATCTTTGACATGTATGTTCCTTCCCATAGACTACTTTAGAGACTTTTTCCTATATTCTTCATTATCTCCTAGGACTTTAATAGCTGCTACTTTTGCCTTTACATTTTTCCTTCCTTCACATCTATCTTTACTAGGTGGCCATATGCTTTCTTCAAGTGATATATTTATTGTATCTTCTATTATATCTTTTCCTTTTTCTATATTTTTTTTGCATAAGTATTCTGTTTTATCTTTATTTATTTTGTTCTCTATTTCTATTATATCTCTGTTTGTTTCTTTCTCACTTGTTATATGTAACAATACTATAATTTCTCCGTAATTTTTCTTTTTCATTATTTTTTTAAGTCTTTTCTTAATAACATGCTAATTACTATAATTAATTTAGCTATATTTAGCTTATTAGCTTATCAATATAATAAGGATTAATTTAGCAAATATAACATAGATAGATAAGTATTATTATGACTCATTTACTTCATTCTATAGTGCAATTTTGCTTATCAATGATGTGATTAACATGTGTATTAATTATTGACTTTGATTTGTAATGATTTACATCTATTTTCTATTTTTATCTTTATTTATGTATTATTTTATGCTAGAATCTTCTGAATAGATTAGTAAGCCTAATGAGTAAACTAAGCTTTTATTTTTAATATATTTTTATTCTTAAAATTATGTACATTTAAAAATTATTTAAACCTGGCAAAATTTCTTTAATAAAAATTAAGTATTTATTGGCAAAAACTACATAATAACGTCTTATTATAACTAAACCTTTACAACTTGGTAGTAGTGGAAAGCTTTTCACCACACTATACACACTTTATTTTCTATACACTATTGCCTTTTTACTTCGCTATATACTTGTTTTATTTGTATTTTTGTTAGTTTCTTTCTTGTAATTTTTTTAAACAAAATGACGTCTGTACAAGATTTAATAAATGCTATCAGACTACTTGTTAATGCTCAAAATGCTCTAACACAACAACTTGATCAACTCCAAGCCCAACAACAACCCCAAGAGCAACAACAACAAGGAAATAATCCTGCACCTACAAAAATTGGTGTAAAAATTTCTATATTTAAAGAGGAACCTCACAAAAACATAATAGTATGGTTATTACAAATACAAACAATTTTCTTTGTAATCCTTTAAAAGTTTTATCAAATTGCTTAATAAATTATACTTCAAAAACTTAAATTAAACAAGTTCGCCTTAAAATACTGATAAAATTTTTACAAAAAATTTTTTTATAAAATTAGCTATTTTCAGCTCATATATAACCTTAAATTTTTTTCTTATAATATAAAAACAAATACTGCAAAAAGATAATCCTTATTTTCAAATTTTATTATCTATAATTATTTTTTTAATATTTTTGCATTTTAAAAAAGTAAATCAGAGCTGAATGAATGCAAAAATATAGGCAAATTTGCCTGCTTCAGCCTACAATCTAAGGGATACTAATTCACTCCATATAGCTACACAGATAACTATTAAGTTGTTTCTTAAACTTAATTCAAAAATTTATGAACAACTATGGTTACCATACTGCTCTGAATATGCTAACTAGAAGCATCAACATAATATATATATATACTATACAAAAACTTTTAACAAAACAGAAGAAATAACTAATAACTATCATATACTTTACTACAACTATATAATTTATATAGTCCTCTCCTTCAACATAACAATCAACTGAACTCACTATACAAAAACTTTCAGCTTAGCTAATACACTAGATCAAATATAGCTTTTCTACTAATTCTATTCTCTCTAATCAAGTCTAGGTAAGTCTTAACTACTCTAGTAGGTTTAGATTACAGATAATTCTAATATAGCTTTAGCTTTAGTTTAACTTTAATCTTTTAGCACGTCTGAAATGTATACCAGGTTTGTGGCATGGATCATCAGCTACACAACACGTGATGATTGACTAGCTAATTAAACATAATACATGTTTCAATTACTTACTGCATGTACGTATGTACGTACTTACATTCTAAAACTACAAAAGCCACTATAAGACTAATATTAGAATGTTTGTAAGCAATGCAGCAATGCTTATATATATTTGCTCTTTCTTGCGCAATTTTTTTTAAAAGTATTTTTTGAAAATTTCTCTTTTTTTTTTTTTTTTTTATGTTTTTTATACATTTTACTTAATTACGTAGAGATGATTTCATTTTTTTTTTCAAACTCTGAACGATGCATTTTTTTTATATAAATTAGAGCTGATTTTTTTTTTTCTTTTTTTTCTCCTAGCTTTTTGTAACATAGAATACAGAGATGATCTAGGAAATATAAACATTCATAAAATTTATCACAACTTAAATATTGAAAGTATCATAAAAATTAGTAACGAAAGTCCTGGAAATGCAAATGAAAATCTAAACAGCAAAAAAATTGAGGTTCAAAATGATTGCGTCAATGAAAAAAAAAATTTTTTAAAGTTTAACTGTGAAACCAAAAAAAGTGAGATAAATAATACCCTGAACAAGAATCAGAAAAATAACCCGAACAATGATCTGTGTGATAACCTAAATGAAAAACTGAGTGAAGACCTAAATAAAAACCTAATCGAAGACCTGATCGAAGACCTAAATGATGACCTGAATGAAGACCTAAGTGAAGACCTAAATAATGACCTGAACGAAGACCTGAGCGAAGGCCTGAATGAAAATCTAAACAATAATCTGAGAAATGATCTGACCTACGACCTAAGAGTAGGGTTGGAAGCACAGGGTCTTAAGGCATGCCTCATGAGGCATGCCCCTGAGGCATGCCTTTTAGCCAAAAGGCATGCCCCTATTATGTGATTAACATCAAGTTGATCATGTGACTAAAACGATTTGTTTGATTAGCTAATTTATAATTTTTATCAAAATGATGCAAATAATACAATTTATTAAAAAACTCTACTCTTTATTTATCATGCAT